GCATTGAGGCCGCTACCGCAAATCCTAGCTACCGCACCCCTTCTCTTAGTGGCGGCCGCAATAAGAGCGGCAGGCCCAATGACGCTGGTTCTGACAAGAGCGTGCCAGAAACAGACAGAACATCCATCCCTCTCTGGATCAGCTGGGCCGCGGACTACAGGCCAAGGTTAAGGGGCCTCCTGCACCTCAAAAATAATAAGACCTCCCCAAAAATAAGACGGTGGGTCAAAAGAAAATAAGATCCTGTCTTATTTTCGGGGAAACACAGTATACATAAAGTACTAGGGGTTGAAGGGTTTTATGTAGCTCACCAGTCTGCTCTTTTTCATGCTTTTCATGCTTGGGTGATAGAGTTCCAAAATCTGGTAACCCTTTTTCATATTTGTGGAAGATTTTAGAGAGCAAATGAGTGTCTATTTTACTGGTTAAAACTCCAGAAACCCACCTTCCAAAATGGGCTTTGGCGTAATTCACTTTTGGAGAATGACCCTCCAAATGTAACATAAAATTTGGTCCAGCCTTCCAGCTGACAAATACATGCCAGTCAGATAACAGATTAATCCAAATCTTGAGCTTCCTTAAAACCATCCGTATGTGCATCAATTTAAGTTAAAGGAAAGCAGCACCTTAAGTTTACGTTCATTTTTTTTTAATTAGAAGAGATTCATCCCAGATTACATCAAAGAGCTTTTCCCCCTAAATGGAATAGATGCCAGGCTCCGCATACCACCTGCCATCCAGAAACTGTTCCTAAATTCTGACACCATTGCCATGTTTCATCGTGCTGGAATACTTCTAGAGAGGAATCTGCCACAGTAGCAGCTGCACAAGGAATGTTCCTCAGCTTGTCCTTTGCTTGTTTACTATGCACTTACTATGCATTTCAGGCCACCTCTAGGTGGCACTAGCGAAGAAAAGTCTAGATAAAATTGATGGCTAGAGGTCCAGATGACTGCTGAGGCATTGATCATTCATGTAGCTCCATCTCTGTCTGCTAAAGAACAGGGATGTGAGGTCAGATATTGGCACATCAAAGTAACTTTTAATTACTTCAGGATTTTGTTGGAGGAGAAGGCAGCCTCCTTGTTAGTCTGCATCAGGGGTGTGAAACTCAATGTCATTGAGTTGTCATGGTTGTATTTGACCTTAGGGGGCATGGCTAGGGTGGGCATGGCCAGCTCAATGTCACTCAAATGATTAAATGCCATTTTTAATAATACTGTATTTTTCAGACTATAAGACACATTGGAGTATAAGATGCACCCAGATTTTGAAGAGGTAAATTTTAAAACAAAGTTTTTGCACTCTGCAGACCTCTCAAACCCTCTGCACGCCTCATTTTTCGTGAAAAATGGGCATGCAGAGAGTTTGAGAGGCCTGCAAAGCGCTCCTGGGGGCTGCCCCCCCCAAAAAAGAACAAAAAATGGCCTGTTTTTTGTGAAAATGAAAATAAAGGGCATGCATAGCCTTTAGGAGGCTTGCAGAGTGCTCCTGGGGGCTAGAGGGGATAAAAATGAGCAACCCCCCCCCATTTTTTGCTAAAACGGGCCCATTTCTTGTCCCTCCCCCCCCAAAGGGGATCTGTAGCCTTTAGGAGGCTTGTAAAGTGCTCCAGGGGCTGGGGGGCAAAAACAAGCAAGAAATTGTCCATTTTTCATGCATTTTTGCCCTTTCCAGCCCCCAGGAGCACTTTGCAGGCTTCTCAAGCCCTCTGCATGTTCATTTTTGCGAAGGGGGTAGGGTTTTGGGAGGCCCAAAATGCT